ACGCGAGCAGACACTCACACACTCACAGAGGCATAGGGCACTTTGTAGCTCACAGACAAACACAGAAAGCATATACGCTGGAATGGGTTTGGCGACAGAAGACATGTTTTCTTAGTTGTGTGAAGCGTTGCCTTGAGTGGATAATATGCTGCGCAGGAAAACCTACCATGTACAGGTTAGAGATCACAACATACTGGTCACTGGGAAGGGTTTTCTGTCCACTACTGAACGTGTCTATGTATTCTTCTGTCTTGTACTGTTAGTCTGTCTCACAGTTGGAGAAAGACAGTTACTTCAGACGTAGTGCTCACTTGAATGAACCATGGTCAGAAATGTTCCATTCAATACAGTAGGCTTTGTTGTTGCTGTATACTGAGTGGACAAAACATTAAGAACACCTGCTCTTTCCATGACACAGACTGACCAGGTAAATCCAGTTGAAATCTATGATCCCTTATTGATGTCAGTCAGTGTAGATGAAGGGGAGGAGACAGGTTAAAGAAGGATTTTTAAGCCTTGAGACAACTGAGACATGGATTATGTATGTGTGCCATTCAGAGGGTAAATGGGCAAGAAAATATATTTAAGTGCCTTTGAACGGGGTATGGTAGTAGGTGCCAGGTGCACCGTTTTGAGTCAAGAACTGCAACTGCAACGCTGCTCGGTTTTTCACGCTCAACAGTTTCCCATGTGTATCAAGAATGGTCCACCAACCAAAGGACATCCAGCCAACTTGACACAACTGTGGGAAGCATAGGAGTCAACCTGGGCCAGCATCTCTGTGGAACACTTTTGACACCTTGTAGAGTCCATGTCCCGACGAATTGAGGCTGTTCTTAATGTTTTGTACACTCAGTGTATATTTACAGTCAATTACATTTAAATTAATAACTTTATGTTTTCCTTTTGAGGAAACGTGTTGTGTTGTTTTGGTACGTGCATTAAGTCAACGAGGCACATGGGGGTGCTAAGGAGATTCGATGAATGGTTGTTATGTAGTGTTCTATTCTGTGATGTCATTCTGCCGTCTCTTCGATCAAACCTCATTACTCTTAGACCTGTAGCATCTGAGGATGACAGTCAGGAAAAAGGAATGGACTAATTATGATCATTATAGAACATTAGATTGAGAGTACACTCTTACAAAAAAGGTTCCAAAAGGGTTCTTCAGGTGTCCCCATAGGAGAACCCTTTTTGTTTACAGGTAGAACCATTTTGGGTTCCATGTAGAACCCTTTTTGGTTCCATGTAGAACCCTCTGTGGAAAGGGTACAGCCGAATAACCTTTTAGGTTCTAGATAGCACATTATTATTATTATTTATTTATTTTTACCCCTTTTTCTCCCCAATTTCGTTATTTCCGATTGGTAGTTACAGTCTTGTCCCATCGCTGCAACTCCCGTACGGACTCGGGAGATGCGAAGGTCGAGAGCCAAGCGTCCTCCGAAACACGACCCTGCCAAGCCGCACTCCTGCTTCTTGACACACTGCTTGCTTAACCCGGAAGCCAGCCGCACCAATGTGTCGGAGGAAACATCGCACAACTGGCGACCGTGTCAGCGTGCATGCGCCCGGCCCGCCACAGGAGTCGCTAGAGTGCGATGGGACAAGGACATCCCGGCCGGCCAAACCCTCCCCTAACCCGGACGCTGGGCCAATTGTGCGTCACCTCATGGGTGTCCCGGTCGCAGCCGGCTGCGACACAGCCCGGGATCGAACCCGTATCTGTAGTGACGCCTCAAGCACTGCAGTGCCTTAGACCGCTGCGCCACTCAGGATTCCCCAGCACCATTTTTTCTAAGAGTGTATGGTGAGGTGGGAAGCTTTGGTTGGACATTCACCATCATAATATGTATGTACCCAGCTAGGGGAGAATGTACTCAGGTAATACCTGTAAAACCCGTCTCTTTTACCTGCAGCACATTGATGATACTAATGAGAAAGAGGAATGGATTCATTAGGATCATTCTAGAACATTAGGCTGAGAATATGGCTGCTCTGTTTGTCTTCTATAGGAGGACATATCCATCATTATTATAATATGTAGTCATCTAATGGTTCCTTCTATAGGAGGACATGTCCATCATTATTATAATATGTAGATATGAATCTAATGGTTCCTTCTATAGGAGGACATATCCATCATTATTATAATATGTAGATATGAATCTAATGGTTCCTAAGCTTTAATATGACTAATAATACATGAACTATTGGTCAAAATGCATTGAATTCATTCAGAGAGAGGCATGTACCACAGAACATTCAAATTATTTAGATATCAACTAAAGGTTGGACGTGTGTGTGTGTGTCTGTGTGTGTGTCTGTGTGTGTGTGTGTGTGTGTGTGTGTGTGTGTGTGTGTGCATGCTGGGTGTGTGTGTGTGTGTGTGCATGCTGGGTGTGTGTGTGTGCATGCTGTGTGTGTGTGTGTGTGCATGCTGTGTGTGTGTGTGTGTGTGTGTGTGCATGCTGTGTGTGTGTGTGTGTGTGTCTGTGTGTGTGTCTGTGTGTGTGTGTGTGTGTGTGTGTGCATGCTGGGTGTGTGTGTGTGTGTGTGTGCATGCTGGGTGTGTGTGTGTGTGTGTGTGCATGCTGTGTGTGTGTGTGTGTGTGTGTGTGTGTGTGTGTGTGTGTCTGTGTGTGTGTGTGTGTGTGTGTGTGTGTGTGTGTGTGTGTGTGTGTGTGTGTGTGTGTGTGTGTGTGTGCATGCTGGGTGTGTGCGCGTGTGTGAGTGAGTGTAGGACCTTCAGGGGGAGATAGATGGCCACACAGAGCTGTACCACTCTCTGGATGAGAATGGTCAGCGTATCCTGACCTCTCTGAGCGGCTCAGACGATGCCACCCCCTTACAGAGACGACTGGACAACATGGGCCAGCGCTGGGACGAGCTCCGCAGCAAAACCATGAGTATGAGGTAGACACCAGGCCAGGCCCTTTCTCATGCATGGGGACAAAGGGGTGCAGGTTTTTGCTCCATCCCCGTTGTTACACACCTGATTCAGATAATCAAGGTCCTGATTGAGCATCTAATTACTACAATCATGTGTGTTAGACTGAGTAGGGTTGGAGCAAACGCCTACAGGGGCTCTCTTCACCAGGAGGAAGGGTTGGTCTCCTACAGGGGCTCTCTTCACCAGGAGGAAGGGTTGGTCTCCTACAGGGGCTCTCTTCACCAGGAGGAAGGGTTGGTCTCCTACAGGGGCTCTCTTCACCAGGAGGAAGGGTTGGTCTCCTACAGGGGCTCTCTTCACCAGGAGGAAGGGTTGGTCTCCTACAGGGGCTCTCTTCACCAGGAGGAAGGGTTGGTCTCCTACAGGGGCTCTCTTCACCAGGAGGAAGGGTTGGTCTCCTACAGGGGCTCTCTTCACCAGGAGGAAGGGTTGGTCTCCTACAGGGGCTCTCTTCACCAGGAGGAAGGGTTGGTCCCTACAGGGGCTCTCTTCACCAGGAGGAAGGGTTGGTCTCCTACAGGGGCTCTCTTCACCAGGAGGAAGGGTTGGTCTCTACAGGGGCTCTCTTCACCAGGAGGAAGGGTTGGTCTCCTACAGGGGCTCTCTTCACCAGGAGGAAGGGTTGGTCTCCTACAGGGGCTCTCTTCACCAGGAGGAAGGGTTGGTCTCCTACAGGGGCTCTCTTCACCAGGAGGAAGGGTTGGTCTCCTACAGGGGCTCTCTTCACCAGGAGGAAGGGTTGGTCTCCTACAGGGGCTCTCTTCACCAGGAGGAAGGGTTGGTCTCCTACAGGGGCTCTCTTCACCAGGAGGAAGGGTTGGTCTCCTACCAGGGGCTCTCTTCACCAGGAGGAAGGGTTGGTCTCCTACAGGGGCTCTCTTCACCAGGAGGAAGGGTTGGTCTCCTACAGGGGCTCTCTTCACCAGGGGCTCTCTTCACCAGGAGTGAAGGGGTCATCCGGTCAAACGCCTACAGGGCTCTCTTCACCAGGAGGAAAGGGTTGGTCTCCTACAGGGGCTCTCTTCACCAGGAGGAAGGGTTGGTCTCCTACAGGGGCTCTCTTCACCAGGAGGAAGGGTTGGTCATCCCTGGTCAAACGCCTACAGGGGCTCTCTTCACCAGGAGGAAGGGTTGGTCTCCTACAGGGGCTCTCTTCACCAGGAGGAAGGGTTGGTCATCCCTGGTCAAACGCCTACAGGGGCTCTCTTCACCAGGAGGAAGGGTTGGTCATCCCTGGTCAAACGCCTACAGGGGCTCTCTTCACCAGGAGGAAGGGTTGGTCATCCCTGGTCAAACGCCTACAGGGGCTCTCTTCACCAGGAGGAAGGGTTGGTCTCCTACAGGGGCTCTCTTCACCAGGAGGAAGGGTTGGTCTCCTACAGGGGCTCTCTTCACCAGGAGGAAGGGTTGGTCTCCTACAGGGGCTCTCTTCCCCAGGAGGAAGGGTTGGTCATCCCTGGTCAACAGTCCAGTTTAGATCATAATATCTATGATCCAGTCCAGTTTAGATCATAATATCTATGATCCAGTCCAGTTTTGATAGTAAAATATATGATCCAGTCCAGTTTAGATAGTAAAATCTATGATCCAGTCCAGTTTAGATAGTAAAATCTATGATCCAGTCCAGTTTAGATAATAAAATCTATGATCCAGTCCAGTTTAGATAGTAATATCTATGATCCAGTCCAGTTTAGATAGTAATATCTATGATCCAGTCCAGTTTAGATAGTAATATCTATGATCCAGTCCAGTTTAGATAATAATATCTATGATCCAGTCCAGTTTTGATAATAATATCTATGATCCAGTCCAGTTTTGATAGTAAAATATATGATCCAGTCCAGTTTAGATAGTAAAATCTATGATCCAGTCCAGTTTAGATAATAAAATCTATGATCCAGTCCAGTTTAGATAGTAAAATCTATGATCCAGTCCAGTTTAGATAGTAATATCTATGATCCAGTCCAGTTTAGATAGTAATATCTATGATCCAGTCCAGTTTAGATAGTAATATCTATGATCCAGTCCAGTTTAGATAGTAAAATCTATGATCCAGTCCAGTTTAGATAGTAATATCTATGATCCAGTCCAGTTTAGATAGTAATATCTATGATCCAGTCCAGTTTAGATAGTAATATCTATGATCCAGTCTTATATCTATGCTTCATTTCTATGTGTATGTTGTAGATCCCACCTGGAAGGGGAGATGGCTCCATGGAAGCGGATACACATGACCCTCCAGGAGCTGATAGCCTGGCTGCACATGAAGACTGACCTGCTGGAGCAGGAACCCCCTGTAGGGGGCGACATCCCCGCTGTGCAACAACAGCTGGACACACACAGGGTGAGAGAGGAAGACTGGCTGGCTGGGTGGTTAGCTGGTTGGTTGGGTGGTTAGCTGGTTGGTTGGGTGTGTGATCCACTAGTTGGTTGGTTGATAGACTAATTGATGCGTCAGAAATCATTATATCTGATTTATAACGGCATAAGTTGTTCAGTGAGCAGATGAGCCATACTGCAAGTTCACTGCATTATGCAGATGTTAGGACTACACAATATTGGAATGTTTTTGTAATGTATCATCATACTCCTAATGAGGATATCATGCAACATCATTAATAACTGATGACAGTACCCTGCAACATCATTAATAACTGATGACAGTACCCTGCAACATCATTAATAACTGATGACAGTACCCTGCAACATCATTAAGAACTGATGACAGTACCCTGCAACATCATTAAGAACTGATGACAGTACCCTGCAACATCATTAAGAACTGATGACAGTACCCTGCAACATCATTAAGAACTGATGACAGTACCCTGCAACATCATTAAGAACTGATGACAGTACCCTGCAACATCATTAAGAACTGATGAGAGTACTCTGTAACATCAATAAGAACTGATGACAGTACTTGCAATATCATTAAGAACTGATGACAGTACTCTGCAACATCATTAAGAACTGATGACAGTACTCTGCAACATCATTAAGAACTGAGGACAGTACCCTGCAACATCATTAAGAACTGATGACAGTACCCTGCAACATCATTAAGAACTGATGAGAGTACTCTGTAACATCATTAAGAACTGATGACAGTACTTGCAATATCATTAAGAACTGATGACAGTACTCTGCAACATCATTAAGAACTGATGACAGTACTTGCAATATCATTAAGAACTGATGGCAGTACTCTGCAATATCATTAAGAACTGATGACAGTACTCTGCAACATCATTAAGAACTGATGACAGTACTCTGCAATATCATTAAGAACTGATGACAGTACCCTGCAACATCATTAAGAACTGATGAGAGTACTCTGTAACATCATTAAGAACTGATGACAGTACTTGCAATATCATTAAGAACTGATGACAGTATTCTGCAACATCATTAAGAACTGATGACAGTACTTGCAATATCATTAAGAACCGATGGCAGTACTCTGCAATATCATTAAGAACTGATGACAGTACTCTGCAACATCATTAATAACTGATGACAGTACTCTGCAATATCATTAAGAACTGATGACAGTACCATGCAACTTCATTAAGAACTGATGGCAGTACTCTGCAACATCATTAAGAACTGATGACAGTATTCTGCAATATCTTTAAGAACTTATGACAGTACCATGCAACTTCATTAAGAACTGATGGCAGTACTCTGCAACATCATTAAGAACTGATGACAGTATTCTGCAACATCATTAAGAACTGATGACAGTACCATTCAACATCATTAAGAACTGATGACAGTACTCTGTAACATCATTAAGAACTGATGACAGTACTTGCAACATCATTAAGAACTGATGACAGTATTCTGCAACATCATTAAGAACTGATGACAGTATTCTGCAACATCATTAAGAACTGATGACAGTATTCTCAACATCATGAAGAACTGAATGTAAAGAATGAATGAGAAGTTCATCTTGTCTGCAGCCAGGTCTGCTATGTATGTGGTCAGTCCAATTATAGTGGATGTTGTAGTGATATAATCTTGTTGACTGGGATTCCTTTCATGTGTTGTTCTGATGCTGGTGTTGTCATGGAGCCTGTGCTTCACACAGTGTGTAGGTGTGTGTGTTTTTACACTAACTCTCCTGCACTGACTCTATACAGACACACTGGACTCTACCCACACACTCACACACACATACACACACAAACATAAACTTGTTTTTTGCTCTAACTCTCCTGCACTGACTCTATACAGACACACTGGACTCTACCCACACACTCACACACACACACACTACATACGCCCACACACACATAACATGCACCCACATTTGATCTTATCTTTAACTCTGCATTGTTGGAAAAGGACCAGTAAGTCAGCATTTCACTGTTAGTCTACTGTTGTTTACCAAACATGTGACAAATAACATTTGATTTGATTTGTGTGTGTGTTACAGAGCTTCAGGAGAGATCTGAGGGCCAAGGGCCCGGTGGTTAACGGCGCTCTGGACCAGGTCCAGATCTTCCTGTCTGAACTGCCTGCTGAGAGGGATCCACAGCCTGACCAAAGAGGTGAGTAGGACACACTGTTAGCCCGCTGAACTAAAGCCTAGGTATTCATTCATGGACTTAACACGAGTCTAAGACAAGGTTACACACTGGTATACACAAACAGATACACTCCTCATACTCATGGACACCGACACTCATTTTTACCCACTTATAATCCACGTGCGTCCGCTCATGTAACTGACAACATACAGTGCCGTGAAAAAAGGATTTGCACCCTTTCTAATTTTCTCCACTTTTGCATATTTTTGATACTGAATGTTATCAGATCTTCAACCAAAACCTAATATTAGATAAAGGGAACATAAGTGAACAAATAACACAACAATTACAGTGAGGGAAAAAAGTATTTGATCCCCTGCTGATTTTGTATGTTTGCCCACTGACAAAGAAATGATCAGTCTACAATTTTAATGGTAGGTTTATTTGAACAGTGAGAGACAGAATAACAACAAAAGAATCCAGAAAAACGCATGTCAAAAATGTTATAAATTGATTTGCATTTTAATGAGGGAAATAAGTATTTGACCCCCTCTCAATCAGAAACTTTTCTGGCTCCCAGGTGTCTTTTATACAGGTAACGAGCTGAGATTAGGAGCACACACTTAAAGGGAGTGCTCCTAATCTCAGCATGTTACCTGTATAAAAGACACCTGTCCACAGAAGCAATCAATCAATCAGATTCCAAACTCTCCACCATGGCCAAGACCAAAGAGCTATCCAAGGATGTCAGGGACAAGATTGTAGACCTACATAAGGCTGGAATGGGCTACAAGACCATCGCCAAGCAGCTTGGTGAGAAGGTGACAACAGTTGGTGCAATTATTTGCAAATGGAAGAAACACAAAATAACTGTCAATCTCCCTCGGCCTGGGGATCCATGCAAGATCTCACCTCGTGGAGTTGCAATGGTCATGAGAACGGTGAGGAATCAGCCTAGAACTACACGGGAGGATCTTGTCAATGATCTCAAGGCAGCTGGGACCATAGTCACCGAGAAAACAATTGGTAACACACTAGCGCCCGCAAGGTCCCCCTGCTCAAGAAAGCACATATACAGGGCCGTCTGAAGTTTGCCAATGAACATCTGAATGATTCAGAGGAGAACTCACCGTCAAACATGGAGGTGGAAACATTATGCTTTGGGGGTGTTTTTCTGCTAAGGGGACAGGACAACTTCACTGCATCAAATGGACGATGGACGGGGCCATGTACCGTCAAATCCTTCCCTCAGCCAGGGCATTGAAAATGGGTCGTGGATGGGTATTCCAGCATGACAATGACCCAAAACACACGGCCAACGCAACAAAGGAGTGGCTCAAGAAGAAGCACATTAAGGTCCTGGAGTGGCCTAGCCAGTCTCCAGACCTTAATCCCATAGAAAATCTGTCGAGGGAGCTGAAGGTTCGAGTTGCCAAACGTCAGCCTCGAAACCTTAATGACTTGGAGAAGATATGCAAAGAGGAGTGCAACAAAATCCCTCCTGAGATGTGTGCAAACCTGGTGACCAACTACAAGAAACGTCTGACCTCTGTGATTGCCAACAAGGGTTTTGCCACCAAGTACTATGTCATGTTTTGCAGAGGGGTCAAATACTAATTTCCCTAATTAAAATGCAAATCAATGTATAACATTTTTGACATGCATTTTTCTGGATTTTGTTGTTGTTATTCTGTCTCTCACTGTTCTAATAAACCTACCATTAAAGTGATAGACTGATCATTTCTTTGTCAGTGGGCAAACGTACAAAATCAGCAGGGGATCAAATACTTTTTTCCCTCACTGTACATACTTATTTCATTTATTTCATAAACAAAGTTATGCAACACCCAATGCCCCTTTATGAAAAAGTAATTGCCCCCTTACATTCAATAACTGGTTGTGCCACCTTTAGCTGCAATGACTCCAACAAAACACTTGCTGTAGTTGTTGATCAGTCTCTCACTTTGCTATTGGGATGCTTTGCTGCCTCAGGACCTGGACAACTTGCCTTAATAGAAGGAACCATGAATTCTGCTCTGTATCAGAGAATTCTACAGGAGAATGTCAGGCCATCCGTCTGTGAGCTGAAGCGCAGCTGGGTCATGCAGCAAGACAATGATCCAAAACACACAATCAGGTTTACATGAAAATGTATAAAAAACAACAAATTTGAAGTTTTGGGATGACCTAGTCAAAGTCCAGACCTAATCCCAATTGAGGTGTTGTGGCAGGACTTGAAATGAGCCGTTCATGCTTGAAAACCCACTAATGTCGCTGAGTTAAAGCGGTTCTGCATTTAAGAGTGGGCCAAAATTCCTCCACAGCGACGTGAGAGACTGATCAACAACTACAAGAAGCGTTTGGTTGGAGTCATTGCAGCTAAAGGTGGCACAACCAGTTATTGAGTGTAAAGGGGCAATTACTTTTTCACACATGGGAATTGGGTGTTTTTTGTTACTTGTAAACTCAGGTTCCCTTTATCTAATATTAGGTTTTGGTTGAAGATCTGATAACATTCAGTATAGAAAATATGCAAAGGTAGGGAAAATCAGAAAGGGGGCAAATCCTTTTTCCCAGCCCTGTATCTCAGCTGACTGACATGTTTCCCTGAGTGTGCAGAACTGGACTATCCATCATCTGATTATGACTAAGTTCATAACATCAGCTGACTTGACAGCCAGTTCAGGCTCTATAATCGGCTCATGGGGTTCTGTTTATAAAACAGAGAAACACTAAGCCAAGGAGTTTTATCCCACTACTCCCAATGTTTAGATTTTGGAGGTCTAAGATCTGCATTTTCCAATAAAAGGTGTAGAAATGAGAAGGCACCATGCCCCGCAGTTTCACTTGTGTTCCTTACTAAACAGCCAGCTCCTGTTTGTTCCCTAACACGCTGAGTGTGACCTCTTTACCATAGCAACTGCCTGGCAACCCGTAGTGAGGGAAACTATTCAACTCTAGCTGCTCATTCAATTCAATGGGCTCCAATGTGTTTTCCTCAGGTGTGGGATTATTGTTTTAATAACCATGAACCCTATGATCTAAGTCATGTTTTTAGCCTTTATGTGATGAAGTTGGAAAGGATTTAGGGCTGATCAAGACAATAAAGTAACAAATAACTTTCAAAGAGTAAAAACCCAGAGTTTGAATTTCAATCTTCTAAGTATTTTATGAGCTTAGTATAAATTAGGATTGTTGTGTCAGGTCCTTATACGATCTGATAACTCCTTCAATTCAATGAAGCTTGATCATTCCCTGAGGGGACACAAAAATTATCAAACAATGCTCTGTTTCTTTCTGTCCTGTCAGACATCAGTCCAGAGGAGCGCGCCCAGAACGTGGGGCGTGTCCTGCGAAAGGAGGCGGAGGATGTGGCGTCAGGGTGGGAGGGGCTTAACGAGGAGGCTGCTGATTGGCAGAAGAGGCTGGAGCTGGCTCTGGATAGGCTGTTGGAGCTTCACAAGGCCCAGGACCAGCTAGAGCTGAGGCTGAGCCAGGCTGAGATGGTGAAGGAGGCCTGGGAACCTGTTGGAGACCTGCTCATAGACTCACTACCTGAACACATCCACAGGGTCAAGGTGAGAGAGAGAGAGAGAGAGAGACACACATACTGTAGATAATATATACACACACACACACGCACCCAACCTTAACAGATAGAGAGAGTCAAGGTGAGATAGGATAGACATTTTTGTATTCTTTATTCTTCATTTGGATCCCCATTAGCTGATGCCTTAAAGGAATACTTTGGGATTTTGGCAATGAGGCCCTTTATCTACTTCCCCAGGAAGTTAGAGGTAGTTTCGCGAACCAATGCTTACTAGCATTAGCACAATGACTGGAAGTCTATGGGTATCTGCTAGCATGCAAGCAGATACCCATAGACTTCCAGTCATTGCGCTAACGCCAGTTAGCAATTGCGCTAGTGCTACTTAGCAACTTCCTTCAAACCGCACGCAGAGACGCATCTGACTCTGGCAAAGTAGATAAAGGGCCTCATTGCCAAAATCCCAAAGTATCCCTTTAATGACGGCTAGTCTTCCTGAGGTCAGATGTACACATCTCTCTCTAGCTGATGCCTTAGTGACCTCTAGTCTTCCTGAGGTCAGATGTACACATCTCTCTCTAGCTGATGCCTTAGTGACCGCTAGTCTTCCTGAGGTCAGATGTACACATCTCTCTCTAGCTGATGCCTTAGTGACCTCTAGTCTTCCTGAGGTCAGATGTACACATCTCTCTCTAGCTGATGCCTTAGTGACCGCTAGTCTTCCTGAGGTCAGATGTACACATCTCTCTCTAGCTGATGCCTTAGTGACCTCTAGTCTTCCTGAGGTCAGATGTACACATCTCTCTCTAGCTGATGCCTTAGTGACCGCTAGTCTTCCTGAGGTCAGATGTACACATCTCTCTCTAGCTGATGCCTTAGTGACCGCTAGTCTTCCTGAGGTCAGATGTACACATCTCTCTCTAGCTGATAAGGGGTACAGTGTGTGTTCTCTAGGTAGTGAATGAAGGTACAGTAATTGGTTCGTGGCTCCATCTTCAATGTGTGTGTGAGCGTGTTTGCCTGTGTGTGTATGTGTGTGTTCTTCACTGCAGGCGTTCCAGGCGGAGATAGCTCCTATCAAAAACGATGTGAGCCATGTCAACAACCTGGCCTCTACCTTCGGCCCTCCGGACCTCGTCCTCTCACAACCCAACCTGGACAGACTGGAGGACCTCAACACACGCTGGAGGATGCTACAGGTACACACACACACACACACACACACACACACACACACACACACACACACACACACACACACACACACACACACACACACACACACACACACACACACACACAAACAGACACACAATTCTTTATGAAGACACTGATTGAGCACCCCTGACTGAGTTCCCAAGCTTCATGCTTGATATTGAATAAATGTACTTTGTGACCTCATTAAAAATGTTACCTCCAGGAGCATCTGTCCCATCGTCAGGTTGTCCTGAGTCTAATACAGAGCCAGAGGTCAGGTTGTCCTGAGTCTAATACAGAGCCAGTGGTCAGGTTGTCCTGAGTCTAATACAGAGCCAGTGGTCAGGTTGTCCTGAGTCTAATACAGAGCCAGTGGTCAGGTTGTCCTGAGTCTAATACAGAGCCAGTGAGGTCAGGTTGTCCTGAGTCTAATACAGAGCCAGTGGTCAGGTTGTCCTGAGTCTAATACAGAGCCAGTGGTCAGGTTGTCCTGAGTCTAATACAGAGCCAGTGAGATCAGGTTGTCCTGAGTCTAATACAGAGCCAGTGAGGTCAGGTTGTCCTGAGTCTAATACAGAGCCAGTGAGGTCAGGTTGTCCTGAGTCTAATACAGAGCCAGAGGTCAGGTTGTCCTGAGTCTAATACAGAGCCAGAGGTCAGGTTGTCCTGAGTCTAATACAGAGCCAGTGGTCAGGTTGTCCTGAGTCTAATACAGAGCCAGTGGTCAGGTTGTCCTGAGTCTAATACAGAGCCAGAGGTCAGGTTGTCCTGAGTCTAATACAGAGCCAGTGAGGTCAGGTTGTCCTGAGTCTAATACAGAGCCAGTGAGGTCAGGTTGTCCTGAGTCTAATACAGAGCCAGTGGTCAGGTTGTCTTGAGTCTAATACAGAGCCAGCGGTCAGGTTGTCCTGAGTCTAATACAGAGCCAGTGAGGTCAGGTTGTCCTGAGTCTAATACAGAGCCAGTGAGGTCAGGTTGTCCTGAGTCTAATACAGAGCCAGTGAGGTCAGGTTGTCCTGAGTCTAATACAGAGCCAGTGGTCAGGTTGTCCTGAGTCTAATACAGAGCCAGTGAGGTCAGGTTGTCCTGAGTCTAATACAGAGCCAGAGGTCAGGTTGTCCTGAGTCTAATACAGAGCCAGTGGTCAGGTTGTCCTGAGTCTAATACAGAGCCAGTGGTCAGGTTGTCCTGAGTCTAATACAGAGCCAGTGGTCAGGTTGTCCTGAGTCTAATACAGAGCCAGTGAGGTCAGGTTGTCCTGAGTCTAATACAGAGCCAGTGAGGTCAGGTTGTCCTGAGTCTAATACAGAGCCAGTGAGGTCAGGTTGTCCTGAGTCTAATACAGAGCCAGTGAGGTCAGGTTGTCCTGAGTCTAATACAGAGCCAGTGGGTCAGGTTGTCCTGAGTCTAATACAGAGCCAGTGAGGTCAGGTTGTCCTGAGTCTAATACAGAGCCAGTGAGGTCAGGTTGTCCTGAGTCTAATACAGAGCCAGTGGTCAGGTTGTCCTGAGTCTAATACAGAGCCAGTGAGGTCAGGTTGTCCTGAGTCTAATACAGAGCCAGTGAGGTCAGGTTGTCCTGAGTCTAATACAGAGCCAGTGAGGTCAGGTTGTCCTGAGTCTAATACAGAGCCAGAGGTCAGGTTGTCCTGAGTCTAATACAGAGCCAGTGAGGTCAGGTTGTCCTGAGTCTAATACAGAGCCAGTGAGGTCAGGTTGTCCTGAGTCTAATACAGAGCCAGTGAGGTCAGGTTGTCCTGAGTCTAATACAGAGCCAGTGAGGTCAGGTTGTCCTGAGTCTAATACAGAGCCAGTGGTCAGGTTGTCCTGAGTCTAATACAGAGCCAGTGAGTGTCAGGTTGTCCTGAGTCTAATACAGAGCCAGTGAGGTCAGGTTGTCCTGAGTCTAATACAGAGCCAGTGGTCAGGTTGTCCTGAGTCTAATACAGAGCCAGTGAGGTCAGGTTGTCCTGAGTCTATACAGAGCCCAGTGAGGTCAGGTTGTCCCTTGAGTTCCTAATACAGAGCAGTGAGGTCAGGTGGTCCTGAGTCTAATACAGAGGCCAGTGAGGTCAGGTTGTCCTGTGTGCTGTATTGTTACCACACCCAATAAGGATCCTGACTGATGCCCTTCCTCCCTCCATGAGACCCCTCTCTCCCTGCCTCCCTCCCTGAGACCCCTCTCTCCCTGCCTCCCTCCCTGAGACCCCTCTCTCCCTGCCTCCCTCCCTGAGACCTCGTCTCCTGCCTCCTCCCTGAGACCCCTCTCCCCTGCCTCCCCCCTGAGACCCCTCTCTCCCTCCCTCCCTCCCTGAGACCCCTCCTCCCATGCCCTCCCTCCCTGAGACCCCTCTCTCCCTGCCTCCCTCCCTGAGACCCCTCTCTCCCTCCCTCCCTCCCTGAGACCCCTCTCTCCCTCCCTCCCTCCCTGAGACCCCCTCTCCCCTGCCTCCCTTCCTGAGACCCCTCTCTCCCTCCCTGAGACCTCTCCCTGCCTCCCTCCCTGAGACCCCTCTCTCCCTGCCTCCCTTCCTGAGACCCCTCTCTCCCTCCCTGAGACCTCTCCCTGCCTCCCTTCCTGAGACCCCTCTCTCCTTTCCTGTCTCTCCCTCTCTCTCTCCCTCCCTCCCTCTCTCCTTCTCTCCCTCTTTCTCTCTCTCCCTGAGACCCCTCTGTGAAGTTGATGACATACAGACAGCTGAGATGAAAGTAGAAGAGGGGGAGATGGAGAGAACAGAGGAGAGATAAAGAGGAGTGTGAAGGAGATGGACACCTGGAGACAGGACCATATGGCAACTCCTACACAGCGTCTCACACACACACACTTGGCACGCACGCACTCGCGCACGTACGAACACACACACACACACACACACACACACACACACGCGCCAGCTGTTCCTGCTGACACCCATCATGTCTACTGAAGGATGTTGAGGTGACTGGGACCTCACTGACACCATAGCAACAACGCCGTTAGTTTGTCCCACTTTGTTGCTGAGGACAACAGGCCTGTTTACCTAACTGCCCCCTCTTTACGTCCTGAAAGGGTCACACACACAAACACAGATCAAGTGTCTGAAAGAAGGGGGTTGATTGGGCTGGGCGCTGCGGTACAGATACCATTCATAATTACTGCTGCAAAACGATCTCAAACTATTTTGACCCCCCATCATCACCAGGTTTCCATGGGAACGTGTAAAAACTCAGGGGGTGGAATGGCGGTGGATGAGTTGGGGGATGTATCTCAGGTAATGGTTCGTTTACAGTAGGACTCGTCATCAGATATCACTCCTCCATTAGACTCCATTAGACCACTGCTATGCCTGTACTTCTATTGGTCCAAACATCTCACAGGTTACCACAGTCCATCTCACACCATCACACACACACACACACACATGCACATCACTTGCCTCATACCATAATGCGCTTTACCACCACACATATGCGTGAATGTGTACCCAGTACAACACTGTTATAAACACACACACACCAATATTGCCTATGGGATCAAACATGTCATATTTCTTTGGGATAGGATCAATTTGGTGAGCCTCCCCATCTCATCCATAGACACGGTCAGGGTGGTCTGTGCAGAGAGCAGAGTACATTATAGCCAGCCTTAGCTGAACCATAGCTGAAGCCCAGTAGAGTGCTCTGCTCTTAGATAACAGACATGCTTAGTCACAGTCAGTCACCGCCACTGCTTGGCTTCTCCATGACCACAATATGACATTATACCATGCAGCTTTGATCTCTGTCCTCTCTCTGAACAGCTTTGATCATGTACTGTACTCTACTGTGTCTCAGTCCTCTCTCTCTCTGGACAGCTTTGATCATGCACTGTACACTCTTTGAAAAAAGGGTTCCAAAGGGGTTCTTCGGCTGTCCCCATAGGATAACCCTTTTTGGTTCCAGGTAGAACACTTTTGGGTTCCATGTATAAAGGGTTCTACCTGCAACCAAAAAAGGCTATTTAAAGGGCTCTCCTATGGGGACAGCCGAAGAACCCTTTTAGGTTCTAGATAGCAGTGTAGTGTACTGTGTCTCTGTCTGTCCTCTCTCTGCCTCTCCCTCTCTCATATCTCTCTCCTCTACCCAGCTCTGTTTTTCCTCCTGTCTCTACCTCTCCCTCTCTCATATCTCTCTCCTCTACCCAGCTCTGTTTTTCCTCCTGTCTCTACCTCTCCCTCTCTCATATCTCTCTTCTCTACCCAGCTCTGTTTTTCCTCCTGTCTCTAACTCTCCCTCTCATATCTCTCTCCTCTACCCAGCTCTGTTTTTTCTCCTGTCTGATTATACCTGTTCTTGTTCCCTGTTCCCTGTGCGATAATGATACACTCTTTTACTCCCCAATCTCTTCCTCCTCTCCCATCTCTCTCCTTTTTTTCTCTCCTCTCTCTGGCCCCTCCTCTCTCTCTCTCTGGCCCCTCCTCTCTCTCTCTGGCTCCTCCTCTCTCTATCTGGCTCCTCCTCTCTCTCTCTGGCTCCTCCTCTCTCTCTCTCTCTGGCTCCTCCTCTCTCTCTCTGGCTTCTCCTCTCTCTCTCTGGCTCCTCCTCTCTCTCTCTGGCTCCTCCTCTCTCTCTCTCTCTCTGGCTTCTCCTCTCTCTCTCTGGCTCCTCCTCTCTCTCTCTCTCTGGCTCCTCTCTTCTCAGATCTCCATCAAAGACCATCTGAAGCAGCTGACAGATGCTCAGAGGGACTTTGGCTCTCTGCAGGGTGAGTTTTTGTCTGTCTCAACTCACACACGCACGCACGCACACACACACACACACACAAACTCTACTGCAACATTAAGACCAGGTCAAAAAGACACACCACAGCTAGATAACGTTGTAGTCCAGTCTGCCAGTAACACATTAGTCCCCAGGGCTGGGATATGGAGTCAGAAGATTACTGTCTTCATTCTGTAAATACATACATGATTCCTTAGTAAATATTGACAGAATATATACAGTAAAGTCAACAGAACCATGCCATATGTCTGGCTGTACATATGTTGAAACAGAAATCCTCTGGGAATGCTTTATCCATGTCATCCCTGACTCTTCTAATCATGTCACTGTCTACAGGTTCTGTTCAAGGTCCATTTGAGCAGGCAGTCTCACCCAATAACGTGCCCTACTACATCAAGTGAGTACTTTGTGTCTAGCTGTAGGTTTACTGCTGTTTGTCTGCTGAGAGTAACACAGCCTAGTAACAATAGTAGTGTCTGCAACTTAAATTCACCAATAACTTCACCAATAACTTCCCCAATAACTTCACCAATAACCTCCCCAATAACTTCACCAATAACTTCCCCAATAACTTCACCAATAACTTCACCAATAACTTCACCAATAACTTCACCAATAACTTCCCCAATAACTTCACCAATAACTTCCCCAATAACTTCACCAATAACTTCCCCAATAACTTCACCAATAACTTCCCCAATAACTTCACCAATAACTTCACCAATAACTTCACCAATAACTTCACCAATAACTTCCCCAATAACTTCACCAATAACTTCCCCAATAACTTCACCAATAACTTCCCCAATAACTTTACCAAGTTATTTGCATGCGGTCCTGTTCTTTTAAGATCATCCCCAGAAAAATACAGATTTCTATGATAGTGTCCCCTATCAGAACGCTGTGAACTTATTGGTCAACAGTTTTTCTAGGAAGCTAGACCAATGAGGTCATCATGGTTGGTGTTGGTGTTCTTGAATCAATAACTCAAGGGTTAACTTAGTTAACTCTGTCATTCTCCATTCCACCTAGTCACTATCTAGCAGACTGTTAGTGGTGTGGGCCATCTAAGAGAAGAAGTACTATTGGTCGATCAGCATGGTGTATCGGTCTGGTAGTTCCTGTATGGTACTATTACTAGTCCTAATCAAAAGAGAAGCATGGCTCTCTCCCAGAAGCTTGGCTGGAGCGTAAAACCTGTGTATTTAGACAAACATAGAGGTGGAATGGGTTCACACTCAAAAATAGAGAGAGAGAGAGAGAGAGAGAGAGGGAGAGAGAGAAGTGACAGCTGTACTCAAAAATATGTTCTATGTTTTGAATGTATTTAACTGCATCAGGGATAGCATACCCAGACGTTTGGGCTTTACAGCCTTCTTTATCATTAGATTTTTAATCAGTAGTTCCGTCTTTATCTCTGCTACATACGGTTCTCTGTATCTCTACTGCTACAGATGAGGTGATTTGGGATAACTCTGGGTTTAGTGGAGACATTTTAACAACAAAGAAGCATTTTGGAAGTCTTCTTCCATTGTCCTCGTAGAGTGTCTGACTATGTTTCTATCTGAGGCTTGCTTTTGTCTTGGTTGGAAAGCGAGGCAGAGATAGTTATTTCTCATTTGTACTTATGCAGTATAAACAGATTTGGCCCAGTATGTAACAGGTTGTACAGCGTCGTGGCAGTGATAAGGCATTGAGTTCCTGATTATGTTCTCTGTGTGTGTGTGTCTCACTCGTCCAAGTGTGACCTAAACAGATAAAGTGTAATCTGATCTATTAACACTGTGTGCTTAACAACAACAAAGCATGTTAGTGCAGTGGTGCAGTGGTTTTTATTAAGTGTGTGTGTATGAGAAAGAGAGAGAGAGAGAGATGAGAGAGAAGAGAGAGAGAGAGAGAGAGAGAGAGAGAGATTCGTAGTATCGCCGTGATGAGCGCTTGTAGATGATTGACGTCGCTCGCGATTCCTGAGCTCGATTGCTGTATCTCTCCGCTCTCGCGTAGTCTTCTCTGTCTTGCGATGAGAGAGATCGAGATCGTCCCATGGAGTCGAGAGAGACCACGAGAAGCGCAGCGAGGCATCGTGATTCGATAGAGCGTCAGCGCGCGAGGAGGCCGCGTAGAGAGCGAGGGAGAGATCGGAGACGTACGTCGAGACCGACGCGCGAGCAGAGCGTCGCGCGAGATATAGGTGATATGAGAGAGCGGAGAGAGGGATATGAGAGAGAGAAAGAGATAGAAGCTGAGAAAGAGGGAGAGAGAAGAGTGACAGCTGTTCCTCTCTGTACACAGAGAGAAAACACCAGAAGACGTGGCCCAGACCCTCTATGAGTGAGTGACAGCACAGCGCAGGATATTGTGACACACACACGCATGTGTGCATACATACACGCATGAACGCACACACACACACAAACCACACATGCAGGTGCGCACGCACGCACACACACACACACACACACGCACACACACACACACAGTGCCTTCAGAAAGTATTCATATCCCTTGATTTATTCCACATTTTGTTGTGTTATAGTCTGAATTCAAAAAAAAATTTGCTCACCCATCTACACACAATACCCCATAATGACAAAGTGAAAACATGTTTTTAGAAATGTGAGCAAATTGATTGAAAATGAAATACAGAAATATCTAATTTACAT